TTGCCGGTAATGAGATTGAACTAGGTATGATGATACCGACGATCGAATCTCGGGCAAGTAACATATCGATGACAAAGGGAACAACGTATGTTGTTATGCGGTTTGACAGATAAAGATCTTCGTAGAATATGTAGGAACCAATATGGGCATCTAGGTTCCGCTATTGGTTATTAACCAGAGAAGGGTCTCGGTCATGTCTACATAGTTCTCAAACCCATAGGGTCCACACGCTTAACGTTCATTGACGATATAATATTATATGAGTTATGTATGTTGGTGACCGAATGTTGTTCGGAGTCCCGGATGAGATCACAGACATGATGAGGAGCTCTAGAATGGTCCGGAAGTAAAGATTGATATATATGATAATATGGTTCGGCCAAGGGGTGAAACCCACAGGGCTTTAGGTCAGTGCAAAAGGAGTTTTCGGAGGCCAGGGGGCCAAACGCCGGAGACCTTGGCATCTGGCCCTGGGCCAGGCGCCGAGGCCCATGGCTTCTGGGCCAGACACCAAGTACCGTGACGTCTGGTCCTGGAAGTCCGAGAAGGACTCTTCTGAAGGAAATATGCCCTAGAGGCAATAATAAAGTTATTATTTATTTCCTTATATCATGATAAATGTTTATTATTCATGCTAGAATTGTATTAACCGGAAACATAATACATGTGTGAATACATAGACAAACAGAATGTCACTAGTATGCCTCTACTTGACTAGATCATTGATCAAAGATGGTTATGTTTCCTAGCCATAGACATGAGTTGTCATTTGATTAATGGGATCACATCATTAGGAGAATGATGTGATTGACTTGACCCATTCCATTAGCTTAGCACTTGATCGTTTAGTATGTTGCTATTGCTTTCTTCATGACTTATACATGTTCCTATGACTATGAGATTATGCAACTCCCGTTTACCGGAGGAACACTTTGTGTGCTATCAAACGTCACAACATAACTGGGTGATTATAAAGGTACTCTACAGGTGCCTCCGAAGGTACTTGTTGAGTTGGTGTATTTCGATATTAGGATTTGTCACTCCGATTGTCGGAGAGGTAACTTTGGGCCCACTCGGTAATGCACATCACTATAAGCCTTGCAAGCATTGTAACTAATGAGTTAGTTGCGGGATGATGCATTACGGAATGAGTAAAGAGACTTGCCGGTAACGAGATTGAACTAGGTATTGAGATACCGACGATAGAATCTCGGGCAAGTAACATACCGATGACAAAGGGAACAACATATGTTGTTATGCGGTTTGACCGATAAAGATCTTCATAGAATATGTAGGAGCCAATATGAGCATCCAGGTTCCGCTATTGGTTATTGACCAGAGACGTGTCTCGGTCATGTCTACATAGTTCTCGAACCTGTAGGGTCCGCACGCTTAAAGTTTGGTGACGATCGGTATTATGAGTTTTTGTGTTTTGATGTACCGAAGGTAGTTCGGAGTCCCGGATATAATCACAGACATGACGAGGTGTCTCGAAATGGTCGAGACATAAAGATCGATATATTGGACGACTATATTCGGACACCAGAAGTGTTCCGAGTGGTTTCGGATAAAAAGCGTAGTACCGGGGGGTTACCGGAACCCCCGGGGGAGTTAATTGGGCCTCATGGGCCTTAGTGGGAGAAGAGGAGGGGCAGCCAGGGCAGCCGCACGCCCCCTCCCCCTCTAGTCCGAATTGGACAAGGAGGAGGGGCGGCGCCCCCCTTTTTCCTTCTCCTCTCTCCCTTCCTTCCCTCTCCTACTCCAACAAGGAAAAAGGAGGAGTCCTACTCCTGGTGGGAGTAGGACTCCCACCTGGCGCGCCCTCCTCCTGCCCGGCCGCCTCCCCCGTTGCTCCTTTATATACGGGGGCAGGGGCACCCTAGGACACACAATTTGATCAGTTGATCTATTCCAGCCGTGTGCGGTGCCCCCCTCCACCATATTCCACCTCGGTTATATCGTAGCGGTGCTTAGGCGAAGCCCTGCGTCGGTAGCAACGTCATCACCATCATCACGTCGTCGTGCTGACGAAACTCTCCTGTAAAGCTTTGCTGGATCGGAGCTCGCGGGACGTCATCGAGTTGAACGTGTGCAGAACTCGGAGGTGCCGTGCATTCGGTACTTGGATCGGTCGGATCGTGAAGACGTACAACTACATCAACCGCGTTGTGCCAACGCTTCCACATTCGGTCTACGAGGGTACGTGGACACACTCTCCCCTCTCGTTGTTATGCATCACCATGATCCTGTGTGTGCGTAGATTTTTTTTTGAAATTACTACGTTCCCCAACATCTTCCTTGCGGGAAAAACCGACTTTGAGGAGGCTTTTACTTCAAGTTTCGACCCCAGGGCTCAACATATAAATAGAGGGGCAGGGCTAGCACCTAGAACACATCAAGAATCACCCAGCCGTGTGCCGGCAACCCTGTCCCCTCTAGTTTATCCTCCATCATAGTTTCCGTTGTGCTTGGCGTAACCCTGGGTTGATTGTTCTTCACCAACACCGTCACCATGCCGTCGTGCTGCCGGAACTCATCTACTACTTCGCCCGTCTTGCTGGATCAAGAAGGCGAGGACGTCATCGAGCTAAACGTGTGCTGAATGCGGAGGTGCCGTACGTTCGGTACTTGATCGGGACGAATCGTGAAGGTGTACGACTACATCAACCGTGTTGATAAACGCTTCCGCTTAACGGTCTACAAGGGTACATAGAAACACTCTCCCCCTCTCGTTGTTATGCATCTCCTAGATAGCTCTTGCGTGAGTGTAGGAATTTTTTTGAAATTGCATGCTACGTTCCCCAACAAACCCTCCTCTCTTCGAGCTTGATCTACTTCTCTTCGAGATTGATCTTCTTCTTAGTCGCCATCATCAAGATGTTAAATCTCTCCGCCTTATTTCCCCCTTCACGTCGGAGCGCTTGACACATGCCTCCTCCTTCTTCGCCAAGACGCTCTTGAACCTCTCCGTCATCTTGGTTGCCGCCCCTTCTCGCTTCTCCTTATCCTCCTCCCACTTCTTTCTCCTGAACGACCTTCCAACCTTCTCAAGCAACTCTTTTGTTGGTGGGTTGGATCACCCGCTTCTTCTTCATCGCCGATGCTGACGGTCTTGATGGAGTTGGCAGTGTATAGTTGCCACTTGGGTTGCCCATTAAACTTCAACCAACAACTCATGATGACGAAGTTCTTCTTCTCCACCTTCAAGAACAAGTTGCACACATGGGAGACTAGAAAAAAAGACATTGTCAACAAGTTGCATATTCCGTCAAATGACCAACATACAGAGCATATTCAGCCAACAAGCTGCATATCTGACCAAATGACAAAGACATATAATAAGTGGGTTATAATGCACCTCCTATCCCAACTAGAGGGATATGGGCAAAAGGACGAAAAATTACATAGTTCTAACATCCCACTTCCTCTCCTCAAGGGTAGCCTTGGTCATTCAAAAAGGTCACCTAGCCTATATAAGACCCCACATTGGCATCTAAATAATCCACTCCCACTTGAATAAACTCAAGGGTAGAAGTCACTCTCCCCCCCCCTTCGCTAGAACAACACTCAACAGGAGGTCGGGAACTCGATTCTGAGGGATCTAGTAAGGCTCAGACTAGTCAGGAGTCATGGTACTTAGGAAGCGGCAACACCCCACGTGTGGCGTGCGCCGAGAACCTCTTGATGACTCTCCTCATAGGATGTAGGTCGTGCTTCGACGAGGCGACTTAACCTATTAAAAACATTGTTGTGTCACTTTATCGCACACACCCCCATCTACTCATAATTCTCAAACGTATCTATAATTTTTTATTGTTTCATTACTATTATATTATCATTTTATAGCAATTTATATTGTTTTTTCTAGACTAACTTATTAATTTAGTGCCCAGTGTCGGTTCTTGTTTTCTGCTTGTTTTCGGTTTCACAAGAAATCAATATCTACGGAGGTCAAAATCACTTGCCACTTTAATACGATTTTGTTGGGGCAATACGAACACCAAAAGCTTCGGGAGAGATCGAGAGGCCAAGCCATGAGCCCAGACGGCCACCCCGCGTGGGCAGGAATGGTCGCGCCACCTGCCCGTGTGGGCCTCCCTGCAGCGCCTTAACCCGAATCCGCGCCATAATCGTCTATAAATACCAAAACCATCTGCCATATTTTCAGAAGAATATTATCACCGCCAGAAGCCACTGTTCCACGAAGATCTCATCTGGAGGCCTGTTCCGAAGCCCTGCCGGAGAGGGAAGCCATTGTCGGAGCCATCTTCATCAACCTTGTTGCCTCCATGATGATATGTGAGTAATTCCATTAGGACCTATGGGCCCATAGTAGTAGCTAGATGGCTCATCAACCTTGCTGTCTTCATGATGATGTGTGAGTAATTCCATTAGGACCTACGGGTCCATAGTAGTAGCTAGATGACTCTCTTTTTTTGGATCTTCAATACCATGTTCTCATGAGCCGTCTCATATGATCGGGATCAATTCGATGTAATCCATGGTGTGTTTGTTGGGACATGATGAATTGCCACTTCATGATTAATTGTTCATTGAAATCAACTGAATCTTTTGAGATTTATTTGCTGCATAGTTAAATAGCTTTGTAAGCTCTCCGATCGTTTCGTGTAAAATGACAAGAGAATCACTTCAGCATGCAAATCAAGCAAACGACCTTCAATATTTTGGCAAGCATGTGAACAATTCTTCTCAGTCACAGTATACACAACCAAAATATAAGACACCCTTGAACATGATTTTCTGAATGAAATAATGTCACTCAGTTCTGGTCACTACACCTTTTTAATTTTTGTTTGGTACTACAACTTGACTTTTTTCTTCTGGTCGTTTTATTCCACTCTATAACTATTGCAGTTGCAGCCATTTAAGCTGCCGGCAGCATCTCTAATCATGCCGAGAACTCAAACAACATGGTGTGCTTATACTTCGCACCAGGCTGCACCACCACAGACGGGAAATTGGGCTGGTTGATAGCATTGGGGAACCCCTGGGTTTCCAAGCATACTCCGGCATGCTTACCGTAAACAGCTCCTCCTTTGCCCGTGATGCCATTCACATAGTTGGCAGTATAGAACTGCATGCCAGGCGCATCGGTCCAGAGGTCCAGAGTTCGTGAGCTCGATGGGTCCTTTAGCTTGGCTGCGTGCTTCAGGCCATTCTTCTCATCGCCCGAGTCCAGTACATAGTTATGGTCGTACCCTCCAGGAACATCGTTGATGCGGTCTCCAATCCTATGCTCCGTGGTGAAATCAAAAGGCGTGTCCTGGACGGGCATTATTTCTCCGGTAGGAATCGTGTTTTCATTGACTGGAGTGACGTGTTTTGCCCAGATCTGGATCGAATGATCCAAGATGCTGCCAGAGTTGTGGCCTGCAAGGTTCCAGTAAGTATGCTGTGCCAAGCTGATAGGAGTGGCTTTGTTAGCTGGTATAGCTTCCATATCAAGTCTTAGAGTGGTGGCCTCCGGAAGAGAATACGTTGCTCGGACGGTTACATCGCCAGGGTAACCTGTGAAACAATTCATGCTTGAATAGGCAGACTTAACCATGGGATTCAGCAGTATAAACAAAGTTGTTGGTCACATTACCTTCTTCGCCATCTTTGCTCTCATATTGAAAGGTTATTGATGGGTACTCGCCATCTTTACGCTCTACAACACCCCACACAACCTTGTCAAACCCCTTCAATCCACCTGAAATTTACAATTCAGCAACAAAACAAACTATTTTTTGCAGTTGAGTCACATGAACATAACCAATTGTAATAGAGTTAAAGGTAGAGAACAAAATTGTAGCTTTCATCTCCTGACATGTCAATTTTATAGTACGCTTTGTTCTTCGAGGCCCAAAAAATAATAGTACTGTACTAGGATACTGAGTGTACATGTATTGCAATCTGCTTAAGACATCTCGGTCTGTGGTGTACTGTCTACTCAGTTGTGAACTTGTGATAATATCACATGATAATTATTCAAATCATCAATAAAATTACTTATTATTTTACAGTGTTCCATAGCAACCGACCAGTCTGAAGAAGCCTCAGAGACATAGCCACATTGTCAGATCTAGCTAAAACAAAGTATACACCTTGCCAAAACTAACCACGTGAAATTTATGAAACTATACCATGAAGGCTGTTCGGCCCATTGTTGATAGGCAATGAATACTCGACTCCGTTCAGATCAAACTTCCCATTCTTGATCCTATTTGCAACTCGGCCAACTATGCAACCAAAATAAGGTGCCATGCCTTTCTACAAAAACAGAATAGAAGAAACAAAAGGTCTATGTTAACAACCACAGGCAACCCTTCGAAACAAGTTAAATGGAAATTTAACATAACTAGATACATTCTCGATACTTCAGAAATTTCATGTACAATTGGTTGGTACATATCTGAAATAAATCATTGGGCTTTGGTGTGTGAATGACTAACATCAAGGTTTACAACCTCTTCGACTAAAGGGGTTCCGCAAGAACTTTGAAAAACTTACGAACTTTATATAGCTTGATTGGTGGTAGGACTGAAAACAACAGGGATTCTTTTTACATGAAAACAGCAGGAAATGATCCTACTGTAATTTTTACTAAAATAATATTTACATGGTTATGTACAAATTAAAAAAAAACAGAAAGAGAGTTATGAAGTGACTTGCCAAGACAAATTGCATTAAACGGAAGTGCACAACCTACAATATTTTCAAATAAAAGAACAACTTATATGTGAGACCTGACGACAAATCTAGCATCTTCTATTTGAGGAACCATCGATTCTAGGTATCAGGACGACACTGATTCACATGTGTTCCGCATCAAATCACTAATATTTATATCAGGATAGTTCAGACTTGCATCTGATTTAGAAAATGTATTCATAGACAAACTAAAGAAACTTTCAGTGACATAAACAGAATGAAGCGTTGGTTTTTGATAGTTTTCCTTGTCATAAAGCCTGAACCTGGACACAACTTTACAAATATCCTTTTCCCAACAGGAATTCAGCTCGAAACCATATTTACTAAAAGATGTATCCATAGCTACTGAAACATCACCCTTGTTCAATAATTTGCTATATCGTCTGCAAAGAGCCATCTACTTGTGATCAGCCTGATATGGTGGTACTTTCTGCTATAATATAGACAACATGAAGTAGTTTCAAACTTTCAATCTAATGAAGAATTACGACCGGCAGTTAAAAAGAAAGTAAGATATAGCCGACGAATTCAACAAAAACTGAGCTAAGTAGGCAACGCATAAACCGCACATCAATTTGCCGCAAAATCCAGTTCAGTTGAGCCCAAAAAACCAACCCGGAGTAGAATTCACAACTTAATCACAGCGATTAGCACAGAAGCATTGCCACACCATCTCCAGTTAGAATCCAAAAGTCAAGGCACTACACAGTCTATACAGACAGAGATGGGATTGTAGATCGGTTATTACCAAGTACGGCTCCAGTGTGTCGAACCCAAGAACGACATCCGCGAGATCCCCTGCTTACAGAGCACCAATTCGCAAAGGGAGGAGTTCAGATTCAAGAATCACCAAACCAAAGGAATCTGGAGAAGAGATTTGTGTTCGAAGTAGTCATGGACGAAACCTTGCGCGTCGGGGACGAGGAGGGAGGTGATGGTGGCGCCCCAGCTGGCGATGTTCGCCGTGATCCTGCCATTGGAGAGCACGCAGATCTCGGGCTCGGCCGCCATTGCTGCTGCCTGCTAGCTTCGCTGGATAAACTGCCTCGGAAGTGATCACAGAGGGTAGTTCGCACCGCGTGTCTATCTATTCGAACCCACCTCTTTTTTTCATCGGCTTATCTGATCCATCTATCTCAACAAGGCACGCAGTTCCACGCTTCGTGGGCCCGGCAAATATATTGTTGCCAACTACTCCCTCCGATTAATTAGTGGTGGTGTTACGCTAAATTAATGGCCGTGATATACGTTAACTAATGGCCGTGATACGCGTCGGTCGGGTGATAATTGAAAAAGATCGATCGTCTCGCCGATCGCTCGATGGAGCACCGAATAGCCGTATGATTTCTCCCGTGTGAGCAGCGTCAGGCTTATGGCAATCACTCCCGAACCGGGCTTTTTTTTTCTTTTCTGAAACATGGCCTCCGTTTCTTTATAAAGGTGTATTTGTTTTCTCGAAAGTCAAACGAGTGCAGGTTTGACCGAGTTTTTTTTTTAATATCAACATTCACAATACGAAATTTATATCATTTGATTCATCATGAAAAATAGTTTCATATTTTATCTACTAGCAGGGCCGGCCCTGAGGGGGGCAGGGGGAGCGACCGCCCCGGGCCCCCAAGTTGAAGGGGCCCCCTCCCGAAGGCATGCATATGTAGCCAGCCCAGCGAGGCAGGCCGGGGATGCAGGGATCACACAGCCCGCAGACTTAGCTTTCCTTCATTACGCTAAAAAAAACATAGCTCTCCTTCAATCTCGCAGACGCAAGTCACGGGCGCAGACGCAGCTTCCCTTCTCCTATTGTGGCTACTCCTCAATTAGTGGATCTGCAGGCGTATGTCCTCATCTACAGATGTAGCCCATTCTCCCTTCAAAATTGAGATCGGTATTCCATATCTCCAAGCCGGCACGCCCCCATCTAGCGATTTCTGTTTGTATCGGCCGCATCGATCATTGAATCGATGGATTGCTAACGCTTAGGCTATGCCTATTCTAGGCCCTAATCGCTGGAAGCCATTGCACATGGCCGGGTGCCTCCCTCCTCCCGCCAGGGCCATGCACCAGTCCACAGTGCGTCATTGTCGAGCACCGTCGTCCGAGATCGATCTCAGGTATATGATATTACTGTTTCTCACAATCTCACTTATATTGCTAACTAACTAATTTACTATCGAATACACGATGCATATCTTGTGTCATTCAACCAATAAAATATATTGTTGGTTTTATCTCATTGTCTCTTCGTATGATTTTGAATTTATGTATATTAATTAGAATCCAAATACAACGCGAGGGACGAGCTACATGCTACTGCAAAATTCCTCAGTTTGAATTTATTAGGCCCCCGGAATGTTTTAGCCTAAAGTTGGTTAGAATTTAACTCACAAGAAATATTATTTATATGCCCAAAAAACATTTTGAAAGATCTTTATTCTGTGATATATATAACACATAAGTTTATTAGTCAAATGTTAGGTCAAAAGTACCATAAAACCCAGCAAGCACTAATAAATCCGGACAGAGAAAGTACCGTACAAAGCACATAATGCCAAAATAACACGACTTGTTACAGGCCAACAGTTGTGGATCTCACAAAAAGGATCATTCTCACGCAACATCATAGATACAATTACGGCAATAGCTATAGAAGCGAAGGTGAGCTTTTATAAATCTTGTATCAATTGTTATTATTATATAAAGTCCATGCTATAGCCATCTCTTCTCCCTCCTGTTTTCTCAGCCATCGCCGATAGTCGGTTTGCTCAACTGCGGTCCCACTTGTAAGTGAAAATGCAACACCGCACGCATTCCCACTTGAGCGGTGTGCCGGACCAACCGTGCAGGGGTGCGACGCGAACACGGCAGGCTTTTCCTTTTGAACTTGTAACTTGTAAAATTTGGTTCTGCTCCATGGCACGACCGATAGATAGAAAATAACGATTTTTCCTAGAGTAATGAGAAGTTTGGCCCGTTCATGCATGGAGTACGTATGAAAATTATGAAGTTGATGCGAAAGGTAAGATAATTACTGTAGTATCATATACTACTACATGGATTTGGCGGAAAGATAAAAATACATACGGATCCATCAACGACATCCTCACGCCCTAGTGCGCCGGGTCACCAACCGACATGTGAGGAGCAGCGGCGTTGGTGGCGACCTCAACGTGCTTCTGAATAGTGCCGTCCAAGGTTGCCCTGTGGTCCAAGAAGGCCAGCGTCCTATCGTCCTCCTCTTGCATGTAGTAGTCCTTGTGGACGATTTGCGCATAGACGTGGGTGATTATGTCAATGGTGTCTTGCTACGCCAGGCGCTGCGCGGCGAGCGCGACCTCGAGGTGGACATTCTCCGGGGCGACGGCAAGCAGTCGCAGGGCCACCAGTGTGTTGAAGAGGTTGTCACCATAGTGGCCGTTGAGGGTGGCGGGCATCACAGAGCCTGGGCGCGTCTGCTGGAGGCTTACGTCAAAGTCGTCCGCAAGCTTCTTGACGACGGTGAACTTGTCGAGGAAACCGATGAGGACCTCGTCGAACAAGGAGACAAAGTTGTCGTCCAAGCGGCCCCTCGCCCTGGCAGCCTCAAGCAATACTACCTGGAGACGTTCCTCGGTGCCGGGCCGCAGGCCGGCGTCGTGGACCATCTAGCACAGCCGGCTGATGCTCGCGCTCATCGCCTCCTTGGGTCTAGCTTAGCTTCTAGTCAACTGATCTTGCGATTCGAGTGATCACTCTTGCCCTTGGTTAGCGTGCGTAGGTGTGTAGGATTCCGTACTACTCCTCGGCCCTCTACTGCACCTGCCTTTGGCTGTATGATAGGTGGGACAGCCACCCCCTGGGCCCACGTGTCATTCACCCAAAGGCAGTTGCCGTAAGTCAATGAAGCTGCGTCCCCCTCCGTGTCGGTGCAGTATAGTCATCTCACCGGACCTCTAGTTGGGGCCAAATGGGAGAAGTTTGATGTTTACTGGTTTATTGGTCCCCTTTGCATTTTGCGCCAAGTTTTGACCTTTGATTTAACTAATAAAATGTTAATGCATGTAAACGAAAATGTTGTGTAAGTCACCTTATGAAAACCAAATAATCCCAAAATACTTAGGCACGGTGCATTATCTCCCTCCTTGTTTCTTATTTCGTGACATATCAACCAATGAGAGATGTGGGCCATGCATGCTTTCAATGACTTGAGACTACCAAACATGACATCCAGTGTTTAGTTCATTGCATGTAATCCTATTAGTACTCTAGTTAGCAAAAAAACATTAACTTCTCTCGCTGATAGGAATAAAACACCATGTATTTATTTAGAGAGGGAGTAGTACATTTTTTGTGACATGCATTACTAGATATTGCTAGTCAAATACTAAAATCCAGATGGACGTGGTAGTACTCCTAAATCCAGACGGTGGTGCTACTAGTACTAGTAGTAGTACTACCAATGTAGTAGTAGGAGTACTAGCACTGTACGACCCGTTGGTCAAATTATTACGTGATGCTCCTCACAGTGAAGTGACAAGACCCTGCGCCGGAGATGACATCTGAGTATAGGCGCAGTTTTCGGCATACCATAGTCAGCCTCACCATCTGCAGTCACTATCATCATGGCTGTAGAGCTAGCCTGCTTACAACTAGCCCTGTTCAACATAATTTCCCGTGCGTAGATTCCCGTGCATTGCACGGAACACCAAGATTGGGGGTGGACGGCTCCGGCAGCGGCCAACGCGCCAGATTTTTCCACGGCCTTCTAGATGTGGTGGGGAGGAGATAAGGCTGATTGTGAGAGACAAGGAGTTGTTTGTAAATAGGGAAGAAGTGCGGGCATCTTTTTATGCGTCAGATCTAGATCCGACGGCTATTGGTGAAAGATGGGAGGCATAACATCATCACCAACTCAGGACCTGTTTGACTTGCAGGATTTTGAAAACGCAGGAATAGGCCACGACAATATTACAAGTTTCAAACTGATATTACAAATGTTAGGAGTAATGCTGCACCTACGAAGAGGGAATTACTAGGAAGTTTATGTAAGAACTTTCTTTACTTTAGGTGGATGCAGCATTATCGTACAAACTAAAATCCACCACCCTGACAAGTCACTAATGGGCAAATAAGTTTTCGAGTCTCTGACCACTTGATGTTTCAAAACAAATTCAAATTCTGCGGAGACTTTGTCATTTAGGCTTAGACGCTTGCGGTGATCAGCACGGCATTCATTGTTGCGCCAGAGAACGCCAAACCTCATTACCTTGAGCACACTTGCATCCAGAACAAAGAGCCTGGCCAATTTAATCTCAGATGTGCTACCTCGGTAGTCGATCAAATCAATTTCTGTAAAATGGATATCAAGGAATTCGATGAGATTGTTATAGTGCAACACATTTTTTCACTTTCGGGTCTTTTTTTATCTGCAAAAGAAGAGAACATATTAGAGCAGCTGGCTGCATAAGATTGTTGTGTCATCAAGAGGTATCAATATCATTTGCTCATACGATATGGTTGGCTGGCTAGTGATATTTTTTCACTCTCTCTCTCTCTCTTTCTGTTTCCTCTCATTTAACTAGGAGCACGTGAAGAGCTTGGGCATTTGTTGCCTTCCACTATGTGGCTGATGCCATATTTCGCAAAAGTATGCCACATAATACGCATCGATGTCAAATCAAAAGATTTTGGCACCGCTCTCGCGATGTGAGAGAGTTGGCACCGCTGTGCACACAGACCCACATGTACAAACAAATCAATCAAACCATCTACACCAGCCTCTCACTCTCCCAAACAAGTGTTTTTTATTGCCTCAGTCCTCTCTCTCCCACGCAGTGTTTTTTCATTGCGTGAGTTAATTTGGCACCGGAGCAAAGTAGGTGATCCAGATTGGGGCACCAGGTGAGCAATGGAGGGGCATCGATGCAAAATGCATCACAAGTGAATTTGGCACATGTTTTGGCCTACATAGCCCACTTGTGTACTCCCTCCGTCCCAAAATTCTTGTCTTAAATTTGTCTAAATACGGATGTATC